ACAGACAGGCTCTGGTATCATGGCTACCCAGCAACGGAGCTCAAAAGTGTGGGATCATTYYAADAAAATGAAAGAGAAACCTGTGCAATATCTGCAGAGCAGAACCTGCCTTTCATAGCAGTTATTTTTTGTTAGCATATAGCTAAAATCTAACGATGGTTATACAATAGCAGCTGCATTCTGGCACGAAAAGCTGTATGTTTTATATTCAATTAACGTATGATCTGATTAGTCGACTAATCGAAAAAATAATCGATGAATAATCGATTATAAAAATAATTGTTTGTGGCAGCTCTATTCTCTGATGTGATTTGAATCCAAATGAGCTAAAGTGCAGGATGTAGAAAACAAAATACTTAGGGCATCTGACAATTTATTACTAATACCTGCCAATCAATAATATTATTTATCACTTAGCAGTAGTATCATTGTCACAGCACAATAGGTTATGTTTTTGTGGCCATGTGAATATGTGTGCAGCACACTTTTATAAACGCAGCCAATTTGGGTATTTGTTTGTTTATTTGTTTAATCAGTGGTTTTAAGTAGAAACAGAAACCAGGAAGTCATAGTGCCACTGCCAACACATGACTGCAGTTATTTGAGGGGAAAACAACTGAACCGAAATCAACATTATGTCCATTAAAAGCACCTGACAGACGATAGAAACACATGGAGCTGTTCTGACGGAGGGAGCTGACGGATCAGACTTACTTGAGTCCCATTCAGAGCGACCTGCGACTCGTTGTGAGCCATAGTGATAGTTTCCTCCTGGGGTGACAGCTCAGTGGGTCAGAGTTCTGCAGAACCTCGCTGGCGGCTCGGAACCAACATGAAAAGCGGCTGTCTGTGGATGTAGCCCGGTTACTTTTGGAAGAGCTTCTGTTTTGCTTTACGGTTTCCGCGTGCCGTTTGAATCAGCTGACCTGCTGGTTCGTGCGGAAGCACGTGGTCACCGGTTGTTAACTCCTAGCCGCTCTGGGTGCTGCAGACAGCAGCCTCTCAACACCAAGGAAAACTGGAGCAAACAGACAAACTCAAACTAGACCAGCTCTCTGTAAACACACCATATGAAAGATAAAAGCTAATTATAATAGTAAACTTCCATTAGATTTGCTGCTTTCACTTTTATAAGCTGTTTAAGACAATTTATTCACCTATAGATATTTTTATTTATTTTTCTTAATCTCAGTTATTTGTTCAAACATTTTTTCAGCCTATGAATCATTTTTGCTTCAAAATAAAGGAAAAGATGACAATACTGAGTAAACTATTCAACAAAGTAAACATCTTTTTTATAGGATATAACACCATAAATACCTGAACAAAGCATTATTTACTGCCTGCCACTGAAAGGCAGCTGATAATTTGATTTTTTTTTGTGTGTGTTTATCTTCCTGTTCACCAAATAGCTTAAGAATCAGTGCGTGAATTTTGTTAAAACTCCCAGAAATGTAATCCTTAAAGGTGCGTCGACAGCTGATTAACTTTTGGAGTCAAGCTGATTTAAGATGGCCGTCAGAGGTAACCAACCTTGGTGAGCACAAACGTATATCTCAGGTAATTTTACAGATGAGCTAAAATATTGTAGTGGCATAGCTGATAGTCATTCCAAACTTATTATCTGAGCACAAACAAACTGGGTGAGACATTTGTGTTAAACGTTGGCAGTAACTGTTGCTGTCAACCCTAGTCTGTTAGATGCCTTATAAACCACTAAATATATTTCTGACATTCTCAAAAATAGTCCTTGGACATACCTCTACAATAGGGCTGTATATTGGCAAGAATTTGGCGATACGATACATATTGTGACAGAGAGGTCACGATACGATATATCCCGATATATTGCGATACTATAAGCAAGGCGATATATTGCGATTTTTTTGTCCAAAAATTCTATTAAATAAAAACCTCTTACAGAGGGAAAAAATGAAAAACCAAAATTCATTGTCTCAGAAAATTCTAATATTACATAGACATACAGTACTTTTGATACATTTAGCTGTGTTCTGCTTTGTATGTATTTTATTTT